GTCAAAGGTTCTAAGTGCCATGTTTGTGTTGAGTCAAAGCAACCTTGCAAGCCTTATAAGGCTGCTGTAGCGAGGGATTTGGCACCGTTATAACTAATCCATTCTGATGTGTGTGAGATGAATGGTGAGTTGATCAAAGGTGGCAAGAGATATTTTATAACGTTCATAGATGATTGCACTCGATTTTGCTATGTGTATTTATTAAAAATAAAAGATGAAGTGTTGTATTATTTTAAGATCTATAAAGCTGAGGTAGAAAATTAACTTGAGAAGAAAATTAAATGTTTGCAGTCTGATCGCGGGGGAGAATATTTCTCAAACAAATTTTCTGATTTTTGCGCGGTGCATGATATTTATTCATGAGAGGACGCCACCATACTCACCACAGTCCAATGAGATTGCAGAGAGAAAGAACCGCACTCTAACTGAGTTGGTTAATACCATGTTAGAGACTGCAGTACTATCTAAGGAATGGTGGGGTGAGGCAATTTTGACAGCGTGTCATGTCCTGAATAGGGTGCCCACAAAGAACAAAGAAATTATACCATTTGAGATATAGGAGAAAAAAGATTAAATCTTTCTTATCTGCGAACATGGGGTTGTTAGGCAAAGGTGAATGTGCCGATAAACAAAAAGCGAAAGCTTGAACCAAAAACCGTTGATTGTGTCTTTCTCGATTATGCTATTTATAGCATGGGTTATAGATTTTTAATAATAAACTCTAGTGTTCCTGATATGGTTGTTGTTATAATTATGGAATCTAGAGATACGACATTTTTTGAGAATGAATTCCCCATGAAGAATACACCTAGCACTTCTAGTCATGAATCTATTTTTCTGCCTGAGACACATGAACCGGTAATACATGCTGATGTTGAAACCCATGAAGAAATTTCTGAGGAGGGTAATAATATAGTCACTTGAAAGAGTAAGAGATGGAGGATTGCAAAATCCTTTGGTGAAGACTATTATATACCTTGTGGATGACACTCCCACAACCATAGCTGAGACATATTCATCTCTTGACGCTGACTTGTGGAAGGAAGTTGTTCAAAGTGAGATGGACTCTATTATGTCTAATGGAACTTAGGAAGTGGTTGATTGTCCTTATGGATGCAAACCAGTGGGGTGTAAATGGATCTTCAAAAAGAAGCTTAGGCCTGATGGTACTATTGAGAAGTACAAGGCAAGGCTAGTGGCTAAAGGTTATACTCAAAAGGAAGGAGATGATTATTTTGATACTTACTCACCAGTTGCCCGTTTGACGACCATACGCGTGCTACTGTCCTTGGTTGCCTCACACGGTCTTCTCGTTCATCAGATGGATGTTAAGACAACTTTCTTGAATGGAGAGGTTGAGGAAGAGATCTACATGGATCAGCTTGATGGATTTGTAACAAAAGGTCAAGAGGGTAAGGTTTATAAATTATTAAAATCCTTGTATGACCTAAAGCAAGCTCCTAAGCAATGGCATGAGAAGTTTGACAAAACTTTGACATCAACCGGCTTTGCTGTGAATGAAGCTAATAAATGTGTTTATTATCGGTATGGTGGGGGAGAAGGTGTAATTTTGTGCTTGTATGTGGATGATATTTTAATCTTTGGAAATAATATTAATATAATCAAGAAAGTGAAAGACTTTTTGTCTAGTAATTTTGAGATGAAAGACTTGGGTGAGGCTCATGTTATTATTAACATAACGCTACCGAGAGAAGAAAATGGTGGGGTAACACTTGTGCAATCCCACTATGTGGAAAATGTGCTAAATCGCTTTGGATATAGTGATTGCACGCCTTCTCCAACTCCCCGTGACCCAAGTGTGCTATTAAGGAAAAATCATAGAATAGCATGGGATCAATTGAGATATTCTCAAATTGTTGGGTCACTTATGTATTTGGCAAGTGCAACAAGGCCTGATATCTCGTTTGTTGTGAGCAAATTTAGCCGGTTTGTTTCAAATCCAGGATATACATATTGGCATGCTCTTGAGAGGGTGTTGCGCTATCTGAAGAGAACTATGAGCTATGGCATTCACTATACCGGGTACCCAAGGGTAGTAAAGGGTTATTGTGATGCTAACTGGATATCTGATGCTGATGAGCTTTATGCCACAAGCGGATATACGTTTTTGCTTAGAGGTGGCGCTGTTTCCTGGAAGTCTTGTAAGAAGATCATTTTAACGAAGTCTACAATAGAAGCAGAACTCACAGCATTAGACACCGCTGGCGCTGAGGCCGAGTGGCTTCGTGAACTCCTAATGGATTTATCGGTAGTTGAAAAACCGATACCGGCCATCTCCATAAACTGTGATAACCAAATGGTGATAATCAAAGTGAACAGTTCTAGGGACAACATGAAGTCTACAAGGCATGTGAAAAGGTGGTTAAAATCTGTCAGAAAACTGAGAAAATCCAGAGTAATTGCATTGGACTATGTTCATACATCTAAGAATCTGGCAGATCAGCTCACAAAGGGTCTGTCACGTAATGTGATAGAAGGTGCATCAAGGGAATTGGGCTTCAAACCCACTTGAAGTCATTCCATAGTGGTAACGTGTCATATGTGATCAGAGATCTCATGAAGTAGGATGGTGAAACAAGCTAGTGTTGACTGAGGGAGAGACCCCTTATGTTAAAGTCCGAATCATTTGAGATGCACTGTTTCTCCAATGTTGTATGGCAGGATGGTTAATTCCTTAATATGATACGAGTGGCTTATTGAAGAAGGGATGTTGTCCTACATAACATCCTAAAAGGAACACACCTATATGAGTTCGATTGCTAGTCACAATCTATGAGATGTGGGTAATCTATAGATACTCGTGAAAGGCCTGGAAGTGTGACTTATATGCTTCAAATAGAGGGGATGCTTGTTGTAGCCTAGTACCAGATAAGAACTTTAGTGAAACTCACCCCACACAAAACTATCAATTCAAGGCATAGTCCATTGTTCAGTTGTGACTGAGTGTAACGACTGCTCTAGATGGATGTTCAACTTAACGGTCTCCATCAAAACTCTAGTATATCAAACAAATATGGTTTTGAGACTATTTTACTACGAACTCTAAAGTTTGGTGGGGATTGTTGGATATATTATGGGCTTGGCCCATATAATATTTAATAAATCAAATAAACTCTGGGTCGTAATAATGCGCGATATATGGTTTCATACCGTATGAAATTTTGACTAGACGTTGACTCGGTTTATATGGTTGGATATTGTCTATCTATATTGAGAAGCTGAGAAAAGGATGTGGGTGTGCCACATGAGAGCGCGCATGCCGCCGACCAGGCCGTGGGCGTGAGGCTTTGTGAAGCAAATGCTTCTGAGATGATCCATCATGACAGGCAATTTTGGAGTAGTTTTGCCACTCAATCCACATAATTACGGGAGTTACTCTCTTTTATGTTGGTGGCGGCTTCATTGCGGGAGTTTCACTGCATTCGCTGCCAAGATGCTCGCTACGGATGCTTTGCGCGCTGCAGGAATTTGGAGGAAAATGTCTCAGCACTTGGGGGAGTCTTGCCGAGGGCCCTCTTCGTCCTCTGATCTCCTCCTGAGCCCATTCACTTCCCTGGCCGTGAGCATATAATCGCAGCTCACCGTTAGGCCCTCACCATTTTAAAATTTTCGCTTCCGAGACACCACATATTCAACTGCTCTTTGGTTCTCCCCATCCCGGTTCTTGCGCCATGTTCACCGGAGCTGGAGTGTAGGCCTCTTATATATAATTCAAATTTGAACTGCGCATGGAATATTGTAATCTAGTCTTTGAAAAATCCTTTGAGTTTGCTGCTTCATACATCCGGTGAAGGGCATGGCAATCACGTTTTTAGGGAGTGTCATATGCTCGTGGCGGATGGTGAAACAAGCTAGTGTTGACGACTACTCGTTAAAGTCCTCTACTTCTCTCCAATGTTGGAGGATCGCCTGGTGCTTAAGAAGGGATGTTGTGTCTACATAACACCTAGCTTCTCTCACCTATCAATTCGATTGCTAGTCACGACTTGTGAAAGACATCGACAGACTTATATGCTTCAAATAGAGGGAATGCTTGCACTATGTCTTCGAGTGCATCCGGCTTTGCGGCTGGATATGTCTCTAGAATGAACATCTTAAGGTCTTGGCTGTCAATCCTTAGTTTGAATATCATCTACATGCTCGTCACGTTTAAGACACACAAGCACATATATGATGTCACCAACATGTTCATATTGCTTTATGTCTTTTCCTGGATTAAATTGCTACTAAAATTGCCTAATATTCTAACAGTTTATATTAAAAAGAATGCCAATAAATCACTTAACAATCCTCCACTGTACATCATGAAGGAATATCTTATTACATGCGGCACAATCACCATGGAAAATTGGAAACGAGCATTCAGCTTATTATATGTACAAGAAACTCCATGGGAACAGCCTATAACAGCCTCCATCTCAAAAATAGTAGAACCACAAATCCTATTTCCTATCAAAGAACTGGACTCTAGCTTGAAAAGTCCACTGATCTGATCACAAGGTCAGCATTCTTCCTTGATTCCAGGATAAGCTCTGCATTCGGTCAGTCGTTGTACGAGATCTGATCCACAAGACCAATTTCAAGACAACAAGAACTAGCAACATTCAGAAACTTTTGTCAAACTGAGCATTGAGGAGAATGACAGGGCACCAGTGTTTTTTCTCGAACAGCGCGTCATTTCATTAAGGTAGAAAAAATGTTACACGGGTCAAAGAGACCCAACTCACACACACCACCCCCTGAAAACTAAGTTACAGACTTGCCACAAAAACTGCAGAAACGACCAAATGCCTCCAAGCTTTAAGCTCAGGGCACCGGTGTTGACTGCTGAACATGATTAACAGGGGAAAAAAAAGATCCACAGTAAATTGCTAGTAGTGTATAGTTTTTTTTTAATGAGAAAACCAATAAGATTGAACAATTCTAAAAATAATCTAAGGGGCATCATTTTAGTCAATTGGTGTAAATGATTATACAAGTCAAAAATAAAGAATAGTTCTTGGAAGGAACCACAGCGTAGTTTTATCTGAATTCATGTATGCATATACATGCATTCTTTGTTCTTGTGTGTTGTTAGGAAAAACAGGGTTAGGCAAGAGAATTACCCGCCATGCTGCTACATCTGGATCTTTTCCTGGCAAGAGAAACAAAACAAACAATGAATATGAAGCATAAATAATATAGTGCTGGATTGCTAATGGATTAGAGCAGACCTATAGCAATATGTCTCTTGAGCACTCTTTGCATGGAGACATCAATGTCAATGTCAATGAACCTAAAAACGTAATTTTGGCCATTAGAAACCACTATGTTCACTCCAAAGTCAAAAGGATGTGAAGTGAGATAAAAAAGGTATGTATTAGTGTGAACTGTGAATTGCAGTTGCAGAGCCTACATACTCACCATTTCTCATCAAACAAGTCCCTAATTTCAGTCCAAACATCTTCTTCCAGCAATAGATAGTTCCCTTCAACTATCACTATTTTGTGCCTGCCAAAGTCATGGCAATTAACAATCAGCAAGTGTCACACTCGTACCAGTACTTCAAGTAACTGAAGCATTTAAGGAAAGACGGTATTAATGCTGGCATGCAGTCATTACACATGGAAAAATTTACAAGATAGGGTACAATCTCATAGGAATATAGAAGAACCGCAACAAGATTTTGGATGAAAAATATAACACCAACAACCCCAATCTCTTCTGCTGTCCTGAGATTGGTGCCTCCCATTTTTGGAAAGGAGTGCTATGGGCAGCTAAATCTGCCCAGTTGGCTTTTAAATGGAAGTTAGGGAATGGTAGAAAGATTAGATTTTGGGAGGATCACTGGTTTGGGAACTCAAGTTTATTAGTTCAGTTCTGACCTCTTATATCTTTGCTTGTGAGAAAAATTAAACTGTTGCTAGTTTGTGGGATGGCCAGAATCTGAAAATTACTTTCAGAAGAACCTTCTCACCTAGTTTGATGAATATGTGGTTTGAGCTTCAAGCAATTGCTGAATCAGTTGTGTTCTCGGATGATTGTGATGCAGTGGTTTAGGAGTATGAATCCAAAGGTACCTATTCTGTACAATCCTTATACGCGGTGGTCTCTTTTAAAGGGATTTTACTGATTTACACCCTGTCCATTTGGAAGATCTGTATCCCACCAAGAGTACAAATTTTCTTGTTGCTCTTGAGTAATAATAAACTTCTTACCGGAGACAACTTAGCTAAGAGAAGACATGTTGATGATATGGCATGCTTATCTTGCAACGAAACTGAACCTGTCACTCATTTGTTCTTTGATTGTTGTGTGGCTTCTATTACTTGGAAGTTAGCAGCACATACATTGTGACTTGGTATTGATTTCACTACCCCAGATCTGGACATCACTGTCAGTTCAAAAACCCCCTTCACTGTCGGATTTTGAACCGACAGTGGCATACCGGCAGTGATGGGGGGTTGACATCACTGTCGGTTCTTAAAAACCGACACTGATCTACAGGAAACAATGTCGGTTTCTGGCTCCACCCGACAGTGTATAGTTGAACAACACTGCCGGTTTGTAGTCCCAACCGACAGTGATGGTTGCTTCAAGAGTGTCGGTTCTTGGCTCAAGCCAACAGTGTTGAGCTAGCCAACATTGTCGGTTGATGGCTCAAGCCGGCAGTGTTGAGCAAGACAACACTGTCGGTTCATGGCTCAAGCCGACCGTGTTTTGCAAGACAAACGCTGTCGGTTTGTTGATAACCGGTAGTGTTTTGCAAGACAACACTGTCGGTTCGTTGCTAACCGGCAGTGATGGCCCATTCGCATTTTATTGTTTTATAATTGATTTTAATTTATATTTTTTCGTGGAATCGGGTTTCGCTTTATATATGCTACGTAGATGACAGGTCCATCAATATTAAACATTACAAATGTTACGATTACAGTTCAAATGTTCTTATCCAGATCTCGATCCCTCAAAATAAAAAAGAAATGTTCTCGGACTTCACAGATTGTGTAATGCTTCTCGGACTTCTTACAATAATCTGGCGAGCCACTCTGGGCCATACTGGTCCTTGTACCTCACGGATTGTGCAATGGAAAATACTCTATCTTTTTCCAATACCTCGGCTAAGATGAATTTTGCGAGCTCCGATTGCAGTGCGACGATCTCCATGTCTAACAGTCTTTGGTGGTTATATTTTTTGCGCTGTCGTTCAAAAAAGATGATATCCAAAGAGTAACATTAAATCATTTTGTTGAATTATTAACAGACATAAATGAAATGGGGATTATACACACCAACTTATTAGCTTCTTCCGATTTCCCGCCGATGTAGCGAAGCATTGCCCACATTACATAAAACCCGCATTCATTGTTTCCCGCTGGCTGTGACAGGTACTTCCCCTCTATTTCGACAACCTTGAATGGGACCGGCGTCCCACCGATATGTCTTCTTCATACACTGAGCAACATTAAAGGGAGAAACATTAGAAAGCGGTATGTGTGATTAGAAAATAATATGTTATTAGGATCGCTTACTAATTCAGCACTGCCACCGGTGCATCCAGATATGAAATGGTTTTTTCTTCGAGTCCCACACCTCAATTAGATTTTTGGCAAGATTGACACAAATGAAGACGAAATGGTTGCTACAATCACAGAATCCTAATTATTGAATAATCTTAACGAAAAAAGAAGCATAAAATTAAAAGCCGAGAACACATACTCGCAGTTGTAGGCTAGAAGTATGTGGGTTTTTTTCTTCATCGTGAATTCGTCGAAAACAGCAATCAATCTCTGTTTTAGGTCTTCCACGTCACATCCATAGAGGCCTAGACATGTCCTCTCATTGACTCGCAAGGGGTCCAAGAAGCCTATATAATCCCATTTGCTTTTTAGAATACAAAATTTTGCTATACACCTACATAAAATCATGAGAAGTGCTCAAAAGTTAACAATTTGTCTCGAGAGAGTAGTTAATTGTAATATCGTGCGTGTAGGGTACTTACATAGTCCACAGCGTTAACATTTGAACATCGAGAGAGCGTTTCTGGTATAGCTGAAACAAGCACTCGCACTCAACATCGAACTTCTCTTCTTTAGGATAATGAAAAACATGTGGCGAACGGATAATAACCTCAAAACCAAAGTCGTCCGTCTCTGTTGCTTGAGCCATGTAATATTCATGCAACTGGCGCATATATGTTGTCAAATTTTTATACTCATGATTGGGAACCAAAAGATTGCCCCTTTCATACTTCATTGTCGGTGTTCCCGTCCCTTGTACATCATAATAGATGTTCGTGGCCTCTTCCATAGTTAATCCTAGGTTGTCTTTGACGCACTTCTGTATGTTCTTTAAATCTTTATTGTGTATTTCTTCGTCTCTTGTTGTAGAGTATTTATTATGTGTTTGCCTTTCGAATTCGGACTTCAACAAATACGAAGGCAGTGAGGCACAAAGATTGAAGAAACTAACACAATCTTCCTTCGAGATATGTGCTGTAGATTTTTCTTTCATCAAGGTGGTAACGCTGCCACTAAACGGCCTTTTTCTTTTCTACTGGTCCACTTTGGGAGCATTAGCGACCGAATCCAAGGACCTTTTCTGCGACTACGAGGATGTCCTTGATCTTGTTTTGGGCTGAGGAGGATGACGACGAGAATTCTATTTTCCCGGCACTGATGAAGATGGAGGAGGAGGGGGAGGAGGAGGAGGAGTCTCTTTTCTCGGGGCTGATGAAGATGGAGTCGGACGAGGAGGAATAGAAGGAGACCTTTGTCTTCTCGGGGGTGATGGCTCTGGATGAGGAGGGGAGTGATCTCTGTTGGGAGATGGTGAGTGATCATCGTGGGTGGGCGAAGACTCACAGTCGTCCTCATCATTAGAGGACAATTGATGGTCAAGCTTAATAAAGCGCTTGCACCAGGCCACTTGAGAGCCCTTGTTTTGACCAAGTTTCAGCCTGTCTTCCGCTACGGGGTACTCAATGGGTTTCTTGTTAAACTTCTTATCAAGTATTCTATCAATGGTGACGCGAGCGTACCCCTGTGGAATTGGGCGGCCATTAATTGTCCCGTCTCCCGTAGGCCAGGCCTGGCCAAGCGCCACTTTGTCCTTTGTCTATTCCTGATGGATGTACAACTTGAGATTGATGGGTTTAGTGATGCCGTCCACCGGATGAGGCACATTCGCCTCTTCTTCGTCGAGAGGGGTCGATCCGCAGCTGCTGCGACCCCTAAACTGTGGGCTAAAGGCAGTAGGAGTAGGGTTTTGTGGTACTCATGACCCCTTAGAAAGTAAAATTTGCTCGACTCACGCTTCAACAGTCGCCTCAATCCATGCTTCCATTCTATCTTCCATCTCTTTTAGTTGCCTCAAATACTCTGCCTCCTGTTCCGCTCTACCCCTCGAGTGGCTCTGGTAAGTGTTAGATTCTTGGGGGAATGCTAGTTTCCAAGGAATAACACCGGTTCCTCTAGTGCGACCAGGGTGCTCCTTGGTTCCGAGTGCTTGGGTGAGCACGTCTTTCTCCCTATTAGAAGTGCGAGTCCCTTGACTCACCTCCTCAGTTACCTGGGAGTCCCTTGCTTCCATCCTCGGCGTGCCATACATTCCTCCCCATATAGTATAATATCGATCTGGGCTCTCAATCGGCTGTCTCAACCTAAACGCCTTCCTCAGCAAGGCGATCCATCTTTTGAAGTTCTGCTTCAAATTCTAGCATCTTTTTGACGTAGCCACGAGAGCCGAGATGATGAGGATTTGTCATTTTCTGTGAGTTCTCCTTATTCTTCCTGCTCAGTGCTAAGTACTCCTCAGATAACCTGTATTCCTTGAAATCCTGCCAGAAGTCCTTCTATTTGCTAAACTGTCCACCATCGAAATCTGGCTCTTTATTTTGGAGAACAAAATTCTTGTACAATGTCCCCTTGAAATTCTTGAAGCATGTCCCCATGATTTCTTTTGCTTTTTTCTTGACTAACTCCCTGTCATACTCGGTTGGGAAAGTGAAATACTCTGGGATCTTGACATCCCATATGTAATCCTTCTCACTTTCAGAAACCCTCCATGGGTCATCATCTTTCCCAATCCACTTCCTGTACCTAATCAGGATGAAGTCCCTAACAAGTAACCCGAGGATAGTCTTGTATTTGGTCAAAGCTATAGGCGGTGAGAGTGGATCTCCGAATTCATCGAACTCAGTAATGCGCTAGTGTGCATTCCTACCAACAGGAATCTTTGACACGCCTCGCTTGGATCTGGCCTTCCTACTACCCGAACCCTATGGCTCCTCGGCCGGCGGAGGCTCCTGCTAGATACACCAAGTAAGCTATGACCCTCTCAATTGATTAGCGTGTGTGGCTACATAGTCACATGATACCAAAGTTACCTGGCTATCTTGGTCATTTTTACCTAGATCGAGCAGGCCGGACGGGGTCCATGGCTGCTCGTTCTCACCGACCTGATTGATACCGTCACCGTTTGTCGGATCATGTGGCTCTCCCGTCCCAGCG